CTACAAAGAAGGGGGGGATGAAGCTACGGGTTTTGATTTCTGCACTAAAATATGTATCTCGTTATACATTGCTCTCTTTAGTGGACGGTGGATACTCACAATGGACACCATGGTCGTCATGTACAAAGACTTGTGAAGAAGGAACTAGAAATCGAACTCGTTCATGTACTAATCCCAGACCACAGCACGGAGGGAGAGATTGTAGTAGACTGGGAACAGCTACTCAATCCAGTGTATGTAACACAAGAATTTGTCCAGGTAAATACATCGTTAAAACAAAAGTACGCTCTATTAACAAGTGCCCTTTTTATTGCCAAGCTGATCTCAACAAAGTTCGATTTTAGCACGTCATTATATCAATCATGCGCAATAAACAGCATATCAGAAATCTAAATCTTGTGATCAATATTCCAATACCCTGTTGAGGATTTTGATGATTGATTTCTTTATTCTCAGAAAATAGTGGATACTCCGATTGGTCCAGTTGGTCTCAATGTACCAAGACTTGTGGAGTAGGAACGCAGAATCGCACTCGCTACTGCAAAAATTCTACATCTACGGAAAAGCGTTGCGAGGGACCAGCTTCACAATCTAAACGATGCAACACACAGATGTGCCGAGGTAATGACTATATCTCCTTTTCATTGCATTTTAGATATTCTCGGTTTTCACATGTCGTCATCATTCCAAAAAAATTCCAAAATCACAGACATACTGGGCACTAATTTACCTTGAAGAGCAAAAGTTCTCTCTGGTTGTTAAAACTTTTTTAACGCTCAAAAATATGCCACGTTAGTACCGTAACGTGACTTGAAACACCACAAAAAATTCGAAAAGCCTTTTAATCTCACATCAATTATAAACTCAGATGAAAATTAAATTTTTAGGGCAATATTGTTGTAAAGGTCAATCATAATCATCAGTTTTGTGTTCAATTCGACACTCAATTCGACACTCATGTAATAATGTAATGCGCCGTGCATGGCTGCACCTTCCAAATCTCTCTATATTTTATTCCGTTTTTGTACTAATTTTGTATTTACATGGCTTTTTATGGTCCTCAAAGCTTTTATAAGAAAACAAGGAGTAAGTGGTCTCGTTTTCGAGGGAAAAGAGCCGGTCGGCGAGTAAGGGAAAGAGAAAATAGACTTCGCTATTCCATCGGAGTGCGCCAAACCAACCGTGTCAACCCTTCTCGAGTCAGACGTACCCGAAATAAGGCCAACTGTATTTCCATCCGTCTCTCAAAGAATCAAAACCTAAATGATGGAAAAAAGCTTTATGTTCCTTCTGTTCCAATGTCGAACGTAATGTCCTTAGCCCCTAAATTGGATGAAGTCGCCGAAGTCATTACAAATGCAAATCTTGACATTGCATGTATAACAGAAACCTGGCTGAATGAACACATACACAACAACATCGTTAGTATTCCTGGGTATAACCTAGCTAGAAGGGACAGGATAGGCGTTCTTCATGGAGGCGTTTGCACTTACATCAAGAAAGGGTTGAAGTATACCGTATTGGACGATCTATATGACGAAAAAATCGAAGCCATTTGGATTCATCTTCGACCTTCGCGTCTCCCTAGGGGATTATCCAACATAATCATCGGTAATGTTTACCATCCACAAACGGACAAAGGCGTTTCAGATCCCGAGATTTTGAACTATCTCTACGAATCCATGTCCAGAATTGAATCCCGCTATTCGAACTGCGGAATTCTGATTGCTGGTGATTTCAACAGGCTGGATACTTCTAGATTTAAAAACGCCTT